AGATCCAGCCCCAGCGAGGTGAGGTTTTACACCACGATAGGCCAGGACACAGGCAAACCCAGCACATCTCCTTGGCTCCTGAGATGGGTTTAGGAGATAATTTTTTTTCCAGTGCCATTTTGCTGCCATCAAGGAAAACGCTCATGGCTGAAAATGGATGAAACTGAACTACCATGGAAAATTATTGGACTGAAAATATCCAGTTACTGGTTTGCTCTAGCATGTCTGGCTTTTCGGCGTTTGCTTTCTTCCCCTCAGATTTTCCACTCTTGCTAAAACCAGCTCCACTGGTTGAAGCAGTAGCTTCAAGGGGTTGCGTAAACAAATGTATTGCTGGGTCATCTGCATCTCTGCTGAGCCACTGGCGATGCTGGCTCCTCTTTTCCATGCAATCTGTCATCCTAAAGTAGACAGATGTTGACAGCTTTTCTCATACTGAATGCTGCCTCTGCCATCAAGCTACTCTGCTCATCCAGCAGTAATTTATCTAAGTTAGCTGGGTCTCCTGAAGTCCATGGGTAGAAACCCTATTTCCATGATAACTGCATTATTTTTTTTTTGTTGTTTGTTTCCCATGGTATCTGGAATGACAGCATTTCCGAAAGGTGTATTGAGCTGTACATTTTAGGTGGTTTTTTTTGGCTGTCATTTTGTAGAGAGTTGGCTATGAAATGCTTCAATATTTTTTTCTTTTTATAACTGAGTGCAATTCTGCGATGAGTAATGAAAAGATGACTGATTCTATCAATCAGTGCTGTTTTATCTTGGGGAAATAAAACAAATTGCATTCTTTCAATCATTTGGTTGGCTTATCGCAGTCTTAGAAAGATTAAAAAAGCAAATGGGCCGTTTGTCTGATTGGGAATGACCCTAATGCTATGAAAATACCTCTGTAGATTTTAAATAATGTCTTATGGGTTACGACGCACAAAGATGAATTAAGGTTTGTAAGATAGGGTTGATGCAAGGAAAGGGGGTACAATGAACAGCTGATGGCAAATAAGATGCATATCTTTTTTTTTTTGTAGCAGTTATTTAGTTGCACCTTTGTTAGAAAATGATCTTTCATACTCAGAAATAAGAACCGAAGAGAAGGATCACATGGTACTGTTTTGAATTAATTAATAACCAGCTAAAGTAATCAAAATCTTTTTTAAAAAATGACTCTCAGAGTGTAACAGTGTGCTTCAGAGTGGCAGACCTGGCATTTCTGGAGAAAGGATGGTAGGCAAAAAAAGAACAGGTAGTTTGAATAGCAGATGCTGATGGCAGCCTCCAAAAAGTGGGAGCTGAAGCCAACCCAGAGGAGCTGCCTGATACCCAGCCCTGGCCCTTAGGGAACATCCCCACTAGGAATTGCAAGTCCCTATGGAGTTGCATGTAATGGTGTCTTTATCTGCCAGGCTGCTTCTCTAAAACAGAGTTCTTAGAATATTTCAGAGTTTGAGGCCGATGGATAGGAGGAAGTTCCATATCCACTTCCCTGCAAACGGCTCCGTTGTTTCAGATTGCACTTGCATTTATTCCTCTTGCTCTGCTCTCATCTGAGAAATCAGCCAGCATCACTGCACGAGACAGATTTCAACACTTCCTTGCCTCAATGATCCTTCAAAACAGCATACGAGATGATGCTTCGATCAGCAAGAGGGACAATATTCATAGTGGTGGGAACCAGAATAGAGTATGGAACAGAGAACAGAATAGAGTGTAGAAGAGAGAACAGAATTCCCCTTTCTTTGGGGGAAGCCCAATGGTGAAAATGTGATCTTCTCGTATCCTTCGTGGTTAGGGAATCATCTCAGTGCCAGCCGCCTGGGCACCGTGCCCTTAATGTGAGATGTTTAAAGTAAGAAATTCTTATAGACACTTTAAAACTGCCAGTTTAGTGAGAAATCAAGGACCAGCAGGCTGTGACAGAGAACCCGTTTATTCTAAAAAATGAGATAGTTAAGTTCAAGAAGAACAAAGGACAAAGGGAAAGAAAGGCAAAAACTGTGGCTAAACAATTATATGACTAACCAGCTAACCCCTCTGCAGCGATTAAACATTAAACTCCCACAAGCTAAGTCAACAAAAAATTACCCTCCATATTCCCCAAGGGCTGTGTCTTAATAGCAACATTGGAACTTGATTTCCAATGGAGGGGAGAATGCAGCAGCATCCTTGCCCAGCTCCCCTCTGCGCTGGCAGTCGCTGTTGCTAGCAGGGATTTCTCATGAACATCTGAAATTTATTTTGTTTTTAATCTGTAAAGGAATCATTTGGTGTTATATGTCCTTGGTTTCTCTAACCCCAACTTGCCACCCTCTGGTTTTGTTTTATTCATCAGGCAGACATTGGGCTCAGGCAGGTTGCCTGAAGCCTGGAATTGAGCTTTTGTTACTGCCTCCTCTGCTCATCAGTACAATTTTTCTTACTTAGTTCAAAAACTGAAAGAGGTTTCAAATCTCAGATGGCAAGAACTGAACTTAGAATTTTTAAGGAACTTGTCCAAAATAAATACTGAAAAAAATATTCTGTCATGGGGGAATTCAAATTCCATGTTATTGAATAAAAGAAACTTCATCAAATAAAAGAAATGTAGCAGGCAGGCTTCCCACACGGCTCCTGCTCCAGCTCTGCCTCTTTGCTCCCGGAATGCGGCACGACACGCAGAGACACGTCGGAGCGAGCAGCACACGGAGCAACCTTCCTCCCCAGGGTCCTGTGAGATACTCCCTTAAAGAAAACTTGGTCTTCCCAGGTTCACTTTGGTCGGATGCATGTGTTTGTGTTGCAGATGGGGAGTCAGTCTGATTGTGATTCAGGGCTTCTCCTACTTTTTTGGCTGGATATGAATCACTGCAAGCAGGGAGGGGGTGACTTACCGGCAGGGAAGATTATGAGGCAACCGGGACAAGTCAGTGTCTCTAAGGCAGAGCAGGGTGTCCGGGAGGCAGCTGGAGGACGTGACTGGAAAGTCACCAGTTACCAGCATTCGTCATCGCTGCTCCAGGTACACAGGAGCGTCTGGGGTCCTCGTGAGACTCCATGCAAGAACCATGACCCAGAGATATCATTCTTACTCATTGCTTTCAAGTTTGGAAGGTAAACGCGAGTGCTTTGGCTCGCACTTGTGCACAGTTACACCGATGCTACTAAATCACTGCAGTAAACAGTCAATTTATCGTGGCTAACAAGTTAATTCAGCCACATGACGTATTAGCTTAAAATACCTTCAGTTTGTTTCCCATTTGCAATAGGCCATGGGCCCGCTTGCAGCCAGGGGATATAATGCAGGGAATGAGCTGTGGCCTGGTAAGCTCAGCTGCTTGAATGAATGCGTGTGCAAATAACAAGGGTGGCTTAAGGACGTAGGTTTCAGGAGGAAAAATGTTGAGCACTAAGTAAATTACAAAAATAAAAAAGTAAACAGAAAAAGGAAAATAAAAGAGCAAAGGGAAGGAACAGGGACTTATGTGGAAGAAGAAAAAACAGAGAGAGATTGGAGATTCTTGAGATGTTAATGCTAAAAAAAAAAGTCTTACTGGAACTTAAAGCAATTTTCTTAGTTCAGCTCCCCTGGACAGCCTTCCAACACCAGCATTGCTGGGGACGCAAAGATAAAGCAAACTGCAAATGCAGCTGCTAGGTTAGTCTGACTGTGTGCTTTCATTTGATGGACTTTATGACATAGATTTTTTTCCACCAGACTGGCCTGATTTGGGTGTTCTGTTTGTTTGCAAATACAGAAATGTCTCTGGGATCTGTCTGCCTTCTCTTAGCAGCTACATCATGTTTCTCGCAATTTCCGACACTCGCACGCTGACCTTTATCGGAAGGTTGAGTTTGTGTTTTTTGACTTAACTCACTTAACATAACAACTAAATGACAAAATTATAACTGATGAAAACTATTCTAGTGTTTACATAATGTATTACTGATTTTAACAAACAAGTGGAGTGCTATAAACTTGTGAGGTTGATAAAGAGAAGTGAACAGATTACATAGTAGGTTATTTTGGGAAATGTCTACTACATCTCAAGGAATACAGATACAATCATAATAAGATCGGAGTGAAGGAGAGGGAAAAAAAAATCAGTAGATCAAAGCCTTAAGTGAAAATTTTGCAAAAAGACAACTTGTTCCCTGAACAGCAAAATTACCAAACTCAGGAACTTGTGCTTGACCTTATCTCCAGTGAGTGCAGGAACCCCAGCTCCTTCCCATGTCCTCTTAGCTGTCCCCTGGGCCCACGAGATGGGTCAGGGCTGTGCACGCGCCGATGGCCGGCGGCCCAAAGGGACGCGACCGCGGCCAAGCGCTGTGGATCTTTCCCTCAGCCCATTCCTATACTGGTTGCTGTGTTAGAATATGTGAAAAATGATGTGTGTGAACTTGGCAGCATGATATCTACTGGATTTATCTGTTAAAAACGTGTCCTTTAGGTTTCCTAAAATAGGTCAGTGTTTCACTCACAAAATTTAATAGCCGAAAGAGATTTTTTTGAACTGCTTTTAGGAAAAGCTAAGACTTAAATACTCAGCCAATTAATTGTTAATTGCTAATTGCTTTGCAGAAATGATTGCAAAACACAATAGCTATCTTCCATTTTCTTGCAAGCGTCTAAGTTAGTACAAATGCACTACCTTTTTCTAGCAGGCAAAAATAAACTTTTTGCTCTAGAATCATGCAGATGGTCTTTGGAATAATGTTCTCCTGGCATCAACATTACTATGAAATACCTGTTTTCAATACTGAGAATCTTTAGGTCAAAAGTATTTACAGGAATGAAAGGCTGATGAAATGAAATGGGGCTAAATAAGAAATAAACAGTAATCTATTCATAGCTGTTTCAAAAAGACAAGAACTTTGCAGATGTTTTTTGGTCAAGTTATATAAAAAGAGATTTTATAACAAGCAGAATGTGTGTGTTTAAGTCACGGGAAGTCCTCAGAGATGCATGTTTTTCCCATAGCTGAATAACTTTATTCCCCAGGGGTACGCTGTGTTTCTGGTACGTCCTCCCTTTTATCTCTCACCACTGCCAAACTGACCCCCATTTCCAAAGTTGGTCTCTTGTGGTGGGAGAGCTAGGCAAAAGTTTGCCATATAATCAGTAGCTGGTCAGCGATAGAGTCAGGACAAGTTTATTTGGAAAGGTTGGGGGTACGATAGTGATTTTCATTTGGAAACTCTCACTCAGAGCAACTCCACTGAAACCCAGAACACCAGAACCTGCTCTCTCACTTGAAGTCCTGTGCACACTCCATTAAACCATAATGTTTCATTTATTCTAAATAAATAATTGCCTCTTAGATCTGCAGAAAATGTCTCAGAGTGTCTGTGCCTTGCACTGTTAAAGTAGATTACTGAGAAACAAGGGAGAGGGATTGATACCTGATGCATGAGAGGCTGAAAGGCAGAATCAGTCATAACACCCAGGTACAGTATTGCTTTGCTGCAACTTTTGTGGCCTGAACCAGTCTCTCTATATATCATTGCGCTGCACAGTATAAACACATTTATCTTTTCACTCACTGTGATACAGAAACTTTGGAAAATACATGCCATAAATACTGGAATACACACATACCAGAAAGAATAATTTACACCCAATGTGTAATGGTACTAAATGAGATCCCTCATGTCTGATTTATTTATTTATCTACCTGACTAAACACCAAGAGACTTAGGAGAGTTTGTGCTAGGCTTTAGTCTTCTCTTACAGCTTCATGCTGTGGGGTTATTCTGGAGGCTCCAAAGGCTTAAGGAATAAACTCAACCCAAGCTGTCCCACAGGCCTCGGTTCTATCTTGGCGTCTCCCTGGCATTCTACAACCCAACCGTGGAAATTCCTTCTCATTCCCAGCTTATTTTCCCCTGCCATGCCTGCAGCCATGGCTTCACAAAGCTCTTGTAAGGCAGCGGGACAGGGAGAGAAGTTCTGATCTACCCTCCTCAGTGACAGAGCTCCCCAAAACACTGTGTTTTGTCCATTCTGGAGGAGGAAGAGCTACTTGGGTGCCTGCAGAAGAACTTGTATTAGTAGGTAACAGAGGCTGCCCAACCTTGTGTACTAAAACACAGTGTAGAAGGATGATAGGAGGAAGGGATGCAGCTTGGAGGGTCAGAAAGGGCAAAAAGGGGCATGTAAAACTCCAAGATTTACAGAAACAGTTCCACACATTAACTAGATTATGCTCATTTGCGGTTTTTGAAAAGTTATAGATCACTTGGGAAATATTATTCAATTAAAAAAATTAGAAAATATGCGTGGAGCTGTGGGAAAGCCATCGCGTTAACACCCCCAAACTTTCTTTTCCTATAACCTAGAGCCAGACTTTGTCATCTGAGCCCATGTCTAATAAAGAGGAATTTGCTAATTTTCATGAAGAACCTATGGGTAATGGAAACAGCCTGTTGATCAAATTTAATCTAGAAGTGAGCATGACACGAGGAAAGGCTGCAGTTGTTTATTTTCACACTGTGACAAATATGATTACTTGGCTAAACTGATTGTTCCCACTCCGCCAATCCTATCTGGTGCTAAAAATCAGTTCTTCAGCTGAGGGAACACTCATCTTTATGTACTCAAGGAGATGGAAGAAGAAAAGCATGTGTCACATAGATTGGAATTGATGGTATCGTACTCTCAGAACCTATGCCAAATAAAACTAGAATTAATGTTGGAGGAATTGATCTAATTTGTTAGCAGTTTTAAATTCTAAAACGACTTCTGTCTAAGTATTTGGTTTGGGAAAATATCTGCCATCTAATTTCTTTGAACTTGCAGCAAAAAGGCAGTTTCTTTTTAAATGAGGAAAGGGTAACTCTGGACACTTTGTTTTCCTGACATGAAACAGACAGTGCAATGTGTAATCTGCACTTGAAATCTGAGTTTTGCAAGCAAGGTGAAAACAAACACATTTGACTTCTGAGTAACTATTCACAAGTCTTGACATACATGCACATTGATGAACCACAAAGTCTCTTAAATAACTTCTTGCAACAGAGAGACCATGAAAAAAGCCACACAATCTACTCATATGATTTCACAGGAACTTGGTATTTTGCTGCTAAGAATCATCTTTTTTAATGCCTTTGTAAATTTTAGTATGCCCTTTTTGTCTAGTGGTTAAACCACAGGTCGCAGCACAAAGGTTCCCTTCCTGCTCTTCATTGGCCTCATGTCTGACTATAACCAAGACACTTAAATCACTAACTTTCCCTTTACCTTCATCTATAAAAATATAAAACACTTGCCCATCTCTACTGCTCCACTTTGGGATCCTCAGATTAGAGACATTATATAACTAGCATTTATTAGTGTAACTTCTGATTTCAGTTACACCCATGCAACCTGCTTGTTCATGTGTAGCAGTATAATTTCCGTGACTTCCTTTCTCTGCAAGGGTTTGGTGTTATCTGCATTAGGAAGTATGATTAAGGGAAGAAATATGCAGTGTTTTATTTTTCTTTCTTCCTAAGTGTTTTAAATATATGTTTAGCATGTGTCCTTCCTTCCACGGGAGTATAGTTACTTTTTTCTAAGCTGAAACAATTTTGAAAACCTTGCTTTAGTGAGTTACTTGGCTGAGATATCCAATAAATATTTTCCATGAGCTCTTCATTCTACATGACAGGGAAAATTTCTTTGGAGTGCTAAGCATCTGCATTTGTCATCAATTTCAGTAAAAATTAAGAAAACTGAAAAACTCCAAAACTGAACTTGGATAAAGCCATTTGCATTGAGGTTGTTCATGTTCAGGTATTAATTATAAAATATATTGGCATTGATGCACAAATTATTTTACTCAGCAAATTGATGATTATTGATCAACTGTGACAGTTTATATACCGCAACTTCTAGAAAGAGCTAAGCTAGATAAATGTCATGTGTAGATATAAGGAGAAATGGGCAGACTGAAGAAGTAAGGAGGCCAAAAACACATCAGTAGTTTGTATGAGTCAGAGTTTTGAATAAACTACTAGATGTTGATGTAGATTTTATAGTGTTATACAGCGACAGGCCCTTGTGTATGTCTACTAACGGCAAAGTCATTATATTTGTCATTGACACTGCACAATAAAAATCCAGATATAGCAGTTTTGTCAATGACGCAATCGGTGTTGCAACAAGGCTGTTGTTTCTATGGTGCCATGTGGCTGCAACCACATGCTAAAATTCATAGACTATGCTGTGTTTTTTCAAATTTTTTACACATCATGTCAGAGTCCGAGCTCTCTTCCGTACAGTATGTATTTACTTGCCACAAATACCACGTCAGTGTTTAGACATCACAAGCCTGAGTGGTGGAATTAATCTTCTTCTAAATGCTTATTTGGCTTTTGCAAGAGGATTGTGTGATTGCAGACATCAGGATGAGTTGATCAATACTGAACTGTCTCCAGCTCCCATTTTTAAAGCACTGGGCTTTTTATTTCCAATGTAAATCCCCTCTCCAGCCTCAGTCTGACAGGATTATGCTCAGCAGCAAAGAAAGATAAAACTGGGTCTGTGTGTTTGATCTCTGAAAAAATAATAAAATTCAGTAAAAATCTGTAATGTGTAATAGAAAGGCAACTCCCAAATACTGTTTGTGCCAACTAGCAAATGCAATTTGGACTGGGAGACCATAGCCCATGATTACACTAGGCTTCTTTCAGAGGCAGTGCTTGGTTAAGTGGCATTGCTATTCAGTGTGTGACAAAGGCACAATCCAAGTAGGACTCGATGTCATATTGCTTGCAGTTGAGACTTCTGAAATATAAAGCAATAAGTGCACTCTCAGATGGTGTTCTTTTCTCTAATGTTGTGCTAAAAATGCCATACTACTGTGCTGGGAGGAAAAGGTGCATTGAAGGTTTCTGAGGAAGCTGTGTGCTTTACATCGTTGACAAAATTCTCTGTGCCATTTAAAGCAGGTGTGAAAATACTAAATCCCATGCCAAGGCTTGCATGAGCGTGTCCGATTTCCCCAATTTTTTTCTGTTGTTGCAAATGGATGAGTCACCCTAAACATTTTATCCAGAATCACAGGGCTCTGCAAGATTACTCTGTGCCATAAAAAATAAAATAAAGTAAAAGCATTCCCATGAGAAATAAAGAGATTTTCTAGCAATTCCTTCCAGAACCTCTGGGAAACAGGTGTCAGCAAGAGATGGGGCAAGCAGTTTCTGAAGCACTCTGTCATCCCAAATGAAAGATGGAAGTGCCAAACCTAGACATCGGCAAGACCTTGTTGGTATCTCAATTGCTTGTTTCCCATCTGAACCTGGTCCTGCAAGTGTAAATTACTTAAATGGATGTGTGAGAAGAAAGATAAACTTGGGTTCAGATTTTTTATTTAATGCATCTCCTCCATGCTTTGTTAATAAAAGTGAAAAATTAATGACAGCTAAGGCCATTTTTTTAAGCACAACCCTAAGGATATTCTCTGCTCCCTCTACCAGTACCTAATGGCATACAGGCATGAAGATAAACTACAGTGCTTTAGTGTTTTCAATTATGAATGTACCTATTTAACTATTAATTTGTCAGCTCAGCCCTGTAAGCGTCAAATTTGTCTCAGTGGATGTTTTGATTGTGAGCTTGTACCTGGTAAGTACCAGAAGCTACGGAAACTCCCTGTACAGCAGACTGGCAGTAGGACCTATGCATTGCAAAAAAGAAAAATATATTTACAGCCATCACCAATATTATTAATAGGTCCATGGTTTATTCAGACAGGAAATTGTTACTGACCACTTTAATTTAACTAAACAAATGAAACCACCTCATTACTCATTCAAATCTAATAAACCACAGAGCACAGAAAAGGAAGTGAGCACGTTAAAATGGCTTGGAGAGAAGTTCCCACTTTGTTTTGCCATTTAATTAAAGCCAGACTCCTTACAGGAAAGGGAATAATTAAATGGCAACAACATGTGCACTATGATAACCTTGTTGGTCAGCATCTCAATATGCAACTTCCTACTGAAGGTAGGGAGACATTCAATGCTGCTCTCTATGTTCTCTGAGCACTACCTGCTCACTAGGGAGAAAAGAATTAATACATTGCATACCAGGGCTATCCTATTCTGCCATGTCCAGCTGACGATATGGGGCTTCATTAGAAAGAGGGTAATGGAATACATTTCCTGACACACAATGTTTAACACATTCAGAAATCAGCTTCCTGAAAAAGGGCCCTGCAAAACACCTGACAACCCACTTTCTATGCATGTCTTGGTATTTATGGATCATCAAGTATTTAAATTGTCAACCTAGTATCCTTGCGAAGTGTATGTTTAATAT